GCTGACCAGTAGCCTTTCCTGATGGGAAGACATCACACCACCAGATCATGAGCTCCCTGGGGCAGGCTGTATGTATTTCTCGCCCCCCCCCCCCAATCCTCATATTCTTACTGATGATGCTCCAACCAACTGAGCCACCCGGCCGAACAGGCTGTGTATCTTTCATGTCACTTCACTGCCTGCCAGCCCAGCGCACAGTCCACATGGGAAGAAGTATAAGCAAAGGGTGAGGGGCAGGGGGAAGAAGGTCTTTCCAGGCCCCTCCCTGTCCGCTTGGCCCAGTGTACTCTCTGCGGTACCTCCCTCCCTTGATCAGAATCACCCAGAAGGAGTTGTGTTTTTCAAAGGGATTAGTGTTCCGTGACACAGCTCAGAAAAGTGTGGAAAATTTACCCAACACCTCTGATGTGCGTGTGAGTGTGAGTGTGAGTGTGTGTGTGTGTGTCTCCTCCCTTCTGCACTCCGCCCCCACCCCCCACTTCTTTGCCACAGGGGGAGTTACAGCTGCCTGGGAGTGCCGCCTCCCCACCCCCTCTGTCTGCTTCCTAATCCACCCGTCTCTCTTGGCCACTCTTCCTTCCATCTCCTGGTGATTAACCATAACATGGCATTGCAGCAGACAGAAATATCTGGTGTATTTATTAAATTAAATTTAGCATTTCTTACCCTCCATTTTTTTAGCAAGATGATTTTAATGTGTGTATATATCTTCATCCCCGCTGCTGTCTCAAACATTGCACTGAAGCTGCCTTTTAGCTCTGGCCTAATGTTCCCCTCTGTGGCCCACTTGGTAGCCCTTGACCCACCATCTCTGCTTCAGGTGCAAGTCCCGGGGCTGGGAGTTTAGTGCACAGAGGGCCCCAGGCCCTGCTGTGCTGCAGGCGGAGATGGGGAGGAGAAGCAGGGACAGTGGCAGGCCAGGGAAGGGGAAGTAGGAAAGGGCCTGGAGCAGCGTGGAAGCTCCAGGCCAACCAGACATTGAGGAGTTTCCGTGAGAGCGAGCCTGGGGCTCCCGGGGGTCTCCGCACGCTCACCCGGTTTCCGGCTCTTCAGTGTCTCTTAGTTTTGTTTTCAGGTGTTTTTCTTTCTCTCTTTTTTTTTTTCTTTTGGTTTCCTGTTTGAATTATTTCAGCTTTGGTACATTTTAGAGAACGGAAAAAAATTCTAAGTAGAATTTTACCACAAGAAACGGTGGCATTTTCCCCCCCAGTTTTAGTCTGTGGTCTCATCTGCCGTATATAGTCTGAGATCACAGATGAGATTTTAGTCTCAGCCACGTTGTTGATTTCAGGAGGTTCTGGGAATTACTCAGGGGTGTCTTTACTAAGTGTAACTTCTGATAGTGTGGGTTGGGGTCTCTGGGCGTGTTTGAGTACTGATGACGGGGGCAACGTATGAGAACTAGTTAATCCGCTTTCTAATATGAGAGAAACACCTGGTGCTTGTATATTGCACCTCATTTCAGCCACCACCCAAGTGGTCCAGTCCAAAAGTATTAAAAAGAAGTGTCCATTTTTGTCACTTGACAAGCGTTAAAGAGGATCAAATCTGTAATTCCTGGCAATGCTTCTGTTTCCTGCGTCTCCTTGCCACCCTCACTACCTGGCGATTCTCCAAAGCCTCCTGCCGCCCACACTCCCTTCGCTTCTTGCCCTTGCTCTGGCTGCTCTGTTTATTATGTCGGATGACTGAATCCCTGGTGGTGGGACCTTCTCTCCCTTCCCACTAGTGTCAGATCCCACGAGGCCAGTTCCGTGTTAGGGAGAGGACTTTCCCAGGGTGGGGGGCCCGGGGGGAAGGGGTGGTGGGCAGACAGTTGCTGAGTTCTCCGTGGCAGGCCCGCAGAAGGGGGACCCCGGTGAAGACTCTGACACGGAGAATTTGATTCGCTCTCAGCTCTGCTTGAGGAAATGAGATTTGACTCGGGGCATCATCAAAGTTGGGCTCACGATAGTGTTTGCGAGGCCCCTAACTTACGGTGTTCCCTATCTGCTGTTTTGAGTGGTCATCCAGTTATTGACATCCAGGAATTTTTTTTTTTAATTCTCTCTTTAAAGGCTTTATTTGCAGTGGCCAAGCTGATTGGAAGATTCCTCAGCTACGAAACTCAAAGGCAAGATAACCTGGTTTGAGTCATTTGACCAAAAAACGGCGGGCACACCAGGTAGAGGGCAGTGGGAGTTCAGGCTTCTGTTCTAGGCGTGCCTGAGAAGGCGGGATTGAGCCTCATGTGTTTTTCTGATAAGTTGATACTATCACCCTTTCTTGGGTTGGAGGCAGGGTTTCACTTTGAGGATAAGAACCGGAGGCCAGAGAAGTGTGTGTGTGTGTGTGTGTGTGTGTGTGTGTGTGTGTAGGAACAGGGAGAACCATGGCTTGCAGTGAGTCCTGCTGGAGGCCTGGGCAGCTGCATCACAGGCCTCATGCTCAGAAGGCCCCCGTGTGGGGTCTCAAATCAAATACCCTAGTGGCCAGATGGTGACTTGGGGCATGCAGCAGGTCAGATGGAGTCTGTGACACGTGGGAGCAGAGCCACTCCGAGGGCGCAGCCAAGCCCCAGCTGAGAGGCCGCGGGCTCTCCAAGTCCATGGACAGATGAGACCGCCCAGTGGGAGGCAGGCAGATGCTGTGAAAGGCTCTTCCCAAAAGAAGAAGTGCAGATTGCAGTGATAATTCATAGCTGGTGTGGGACTCAGGGAAACGGGCGCTCCCGGGCCGGGGTGGGAGTGTTAATTGGCAGTGTTGCTTTGGAAGGCACTTTGGCAACATCTGTCAAAACTAAAAATGTGCACACCCTTTGACCCAGAGTTTCCTCTTCTTGAAATTATCCTAAGAGCTGTCATGAGCCACAAGGGCTGTTGGGGAATGTTTGTCTCAGCAATGTTTGTAAGTAGATAATGGAAACAAGAAAGTGTTTATCAATTAGGCAATGGCAAGGGAGGTGATGGTCTGTCTTTAGACTGCAATGTTATGCATTCTTTAAAAAGAATATTGTAGCCCTGGCCAGTGTGGCTCTGTTGGTTGGAGTGTCATCCCATGAGGGTTCGATTCCTGGTCAGGACACATGCCCAGGTTGCGGGCTCAATCCCCAGTCGGGAAGTGTACAGGAGGCAACCGATCAATGTTCTCTCTCTCTCTCTCTCTCTCTCTCTCTCTCTCTCTCTCTCTCTCTCTCTCTCTCATCAATGAAAAACATATCCTCAGGGTGAGAATTTAAAAAAGAGAATAATGTATATCTATGTAGTGACATAAAAAGTTGTTCAACTTGTTATGGTGTTGATATGAAGAGAAAAAACAAACTAAAATCTTGTGCAGCGTTTCCTTTTTCTAGAAAATGTTTATGGCTACAATAGGAGAAATTGTGCATCACAGACAATATTCGAGTTCTCATGTGAATTTAAGGACTTACTAAAAATATTTGCACATACCAGAATTTTCAAAGTTGAGAAATCAGACTGAATTAGCAAAAGTTTAAATTACAGATGTAAAGCAGTATGGCTGTATACTTTTAAACAATTCATAAAAAGTTTTACTAAATTTCTAGGTAGGAGTAAGTCTATAATGAATATTTAATCAATTCTAAACAATAATCACCTGTTCAGTAATAATATAAAAATAATATGTATTTTTATTTGCTGGTAATTTTTTCCATTTCTTTATCTCCTGGTAAATTCTTTATTGAGAGTGTAAATGCCCATCAAGGATGATCAAAAATGCTAAAAGTGGAGACTCCAAACTGAGGAAGCTTTTACTCCATTAATCACTGGAATTTTCCTAAACCCCGTACTGCGGAAGAAACTGTTTCACAATGAACCCCAGGAGGTTTGGCCACCGTTCAGAAGTCCTCTTCCTCATTTGGGCTTCAGCATTTTACATGCGCAAACAGAATCATTAGGAATCTCCCCGCTTAGCGCAATACTGCAAGTGCTCCGTTTGAGCTCTCCAGGCCTGTCTGGCGCCCCCCTTGTCAAATCAGGGTGGGAGTGTGGACCCAGCAGCACATCTGTCTCCAAGACTCCTCAGGGCTGCTCGCCCGCAGTGATGTCTGTGCGCCTGCTGTTTGAGTCACCCATTCCGTGCCTACGGTGATGCCATGATGTGGCCTGTACTGTTTAACCCTTTTCGGTCCAACATCCAGACTGACTCGACAGACCAGGCGCTAGGAGCAGGTCCAAGGTGGAGCTGAGGTCGACACCGCAAACCGCTGCGATTATATGCATTGTCAGTAAGGTGCTGGGTTGCATGTGGGGAAATGTTTCAAAAGATACTACACTATGAAATGTTTTAAAGAATCAACTCTTTGATTGAACATAGTTAATAATATAACTAGTGAATTTTTGGTTTAAACTTTAAAATAAGAACATTAAAAAGTTCAACATTCAATCCCGTCAATTAATTTGGACCAGACTGTTTGAATTCCAAAAATAAAATTGGACCGCAAAGGGTTAAGAATAAGTGGATGGTGGCGGCATCACCAGAGGCCCCTGCTGTGATTGTCCCCCTCTCCCATGTGCTGGGGGGGGGGGGGGGGTGGTGCCTGGCCGAATCCCTGGCATCACTGGATGTTCAGCACCTCGCAGGGCGCCCTGTGCTGGTTCCCAGGTCATTTCATTCCGTCTTTCCCCAGGGAGGCCAGTGGTGTACCCCTCTTTCACAATGAAGACAAGCCAGGTTTCCCGCAGGCACACAGTGAGGTTAGGAGGAGAAGCAGGCTTTGGGCTCAGGTTTGAGGCATTCCGGAACCCACACTCTCTCTGTTTCCACTCTTCCTCTTGAATTTTGGGAACAAAGATATTCTTGTATATGACACTGATTATATAGGAGAACGAGGCGTTTCTTTAATTTTTCAGATTGAATTTTTGAATGTTGTAAGCAGTGTTTATGTAAATCAATCATAGACACTGCAGGTAAAATTATCCAATGTGTCTTTTTTCCCCCTTGAACAAAGCGAACTTATGGAATTGTGATGTGATTTTTTTTTTCCAATTAAATATTTTTAGGAAATGGCCAAGTTCACTCCTGGGCACTAGTCACAAGCCACGCCTTAGACACCGCATGGGGAATAGCAAAGGGGTCCGTGATGTTGGCGGTTTCCTTGCTGGTGGCTACCCTCTGCTACTTCCGAAGGCTGCACTTCCATTTAGGGCACCGGCTGAAATGGTAGGTGGTTGTAGCATCTTTAGATTCTAAAATATCCTTGTCCCAATTTTGGAATTATTATTTTCTTTGTCTTTTAGGTGGAGTGGATATCTGCAAAGAAAATTCAAAAGTAAGTGTTTTCATGCGTATCTTTCCTTATTTTTAAGGTGCAGAGAGGTTTCAAGAAGGAAGAGGAAAGGGAAAATTAACTGCCTTTTATTTTTCCTTTGGTTCAGGGAACCTCAGCGTGGAGGCGGAAGTTGATTTACTCAGCTATTGTGCAAGAGAATGGAAAGGGGACACGCCCCGAGCCAAGCTGATGAGGAAGGTGTGTCTGTTTGTCAAGGTCATGGAAGATGGAGAATATGTGTGTGAAAAAGTCAGAGAACAAACATTCCATTCTGCTTTATGGATCCAGTGATACCAAAAGTGGCACAAGGGACAACGGTGGCTCTAATTTAAAAGCTAAACAGTTGCTAGGCCATTGGCTTTGGGCCTTTTACCTACAGCCAATGCCTTCGAGAACGGGGGTGAACTCAGTCTGTGATTTCAGAAATCTCAAAATCGGCTCTTTTCGGCTCTCCTGGCCAGGCCTGTGAAACCTCTGCACAGGAGGGGAGATTTCTGTTGTTGTAGGGATCAGTCCGCTTAGCAAAAGTAGTTAGAGGATTTTTAGAATTTTCCATTGGATCAGTTTTGCTAAACATCCCCAGCAGTGCTGCCTAGCCTTGTCACTAGCAAAAGAAGAAGAAGGAGAAGAAGAAGAAGAAGAAAAAGGTAGTGCATTTAAAATAGCTCTTAGCATGGTTTTAAAGTGTACAGCGTTTTCCACTGTGATCAGGCTGTCCATGACTTCCCCACAGTGATGTTCCCTGGCCGGGGGCTTCCAGGAACGTGCTATCTAGCATGGCACTGTCTCTCTACACACAGGTCACTTTGAAATGACATGTGGTCCAATGCATCACTTGTAATTGTTTTTATTTGTATTGTCTGCTTTATTTAGGAGTACAGTTCACTGAAAATGTATTGCACTCACTTTCCTGAACTTCTTATCCCGTGGACTTTATAAAAGAACTTCCTCTTTTTGTGCCACTAGGCGTACGAGGAGCTGTTTTGGCGGTATCACATTAAATGTGTTCGACAAGTAAAGAGAGATAACTACGACGCACTGAGATCGGTGTTATTTCAGATATTCAGCCAGGGCCTTTCTTTTCCATCCTGGATGAGAGAAAAAGACATCGTTAAGGTATGTCCTCACATGGGAAACACGTGAGACTCACCTTGATGGTGACTGTACCACAGCCACTCCGGGCCTCCTGTGGGCGGCGGCCAGGTGTGCAGGATGGCCTGAGATCGAAGGAACTCTGGGAGATCCTTTAACCAGGTCCTCTGTCTCTCATGTCCGTTTGCTAATAGACCAGTGGTCGGCAAACTGCGGCTTGCGAGCCACATGCGGCTCTTTGGCCCCTTGAGTGTGGCTCTTCCTAAGCCTTAGGAGTACCCTAATTAAGTTAATAACAATGTACCTACCTATATAGTTTAAGTTTAAAAAATTTGGCTCTCAAAAGAAATTTCAATCGTTGTACTGTTGATATTTGGCTCTGTTGACTAATGAGTTTGCTGACCACTGGCCTAGACCATCTCAGAAAGGTAATTATACTCAGTTTTGTTTTTTTTTGTTGTTTTTTTTTTATTATTATTATTATTTTTATTGATTAAGATATTACATATGTGTCCTTGTCCCCACGTTACCCTCTACCCCCCCCCCCCCGCTCATGCCCTCACCCCCCCGTTGTCCATGTCCATTGATTAGGCCTATATGCTTGCATATAAGTCCTTTGGTTGATCTTTCCCCCTTACCCCCACCCTCCCCTACCTTCCCTCCAAGTCCCGACAGTCATCAGCTTATGTTGTTCATTATATTCCACAAATGAGTGAGATCATGTGGTATTTATCCGCTCTCCAGTTCCATCCATGCTGTGGCAAATGGTCAGAGTTCCTTTTTCTTCTTCCTCTTCTTAAAGAATACCTTTCAGCATTTCATATAATGCTGGTTTGGTGGTGATGAACTCCTTTAGCTTTTTCTTATCCGTGAAGCTCTTTATCTGACCTTCTATTCTGAATGATAGCTTTGCTGGATAAAGTAATCTTGGTTGCAGGTTCTTGCTATTCATCACTTTGAATATTTCTTGCCACTCTCTTCTGGCCTGCATGGTTTCTGTTGAGAAATCAGCTGACAGTCGTATGGGTACGCCCTTGTAGGTAACTGACTGTCTTTCTCTTGCTGCTTTTAAGATTCTCTCTTTATCTTTTGCTCTTGGCATTTTAATTATGATGTGTCTTGGTGTGGTCCTCTTTGGATTCCTTTTGTTTGGGGTTCTCTGCGCTTCCTGGACTTGTAAGTTCATTTCTTTCACCAGGTATGGGAAGTTTTCTGTCATTATTTCTTCAAAAAGGTTTTCAATATCTTGCCCTCTCTCTCCTTCTGGTACCCCTATAATTCTGATGTTGGTACGCTTGAAGTTGTCCCAGAGGTTCCTTACACTATCTTCATATTTTTGGAATCTCTTTTCTTTTTTCTTTTTCGGTTGGGTATTTTTTGTTTCTTTGTATTTCAAATCTTTGACTTGATTCTTGGGATCCTCTTGTCTGCTGCTGGATCTCTGTAAATTATTCTTTATTTCAGACAGTGTATGCTTAATTTCTAGTTGGTCCTTTTTCATGTCCTCCATGGTCTCACTATACTTATTGAGGGATTCATTAAATTTATCGGCGGTTTCCATAAAATTCTTGAAAAACCTTATAAACGTGGCCTTGAACTCTATATCCAATCGTTTGCTTTCCTCCATTTCTGCCATATGTGACCTGTTTCTTTGTCTCCGCATTTTGGCAGCTTCCCTGTGTTGATAGAGTGGCCCTGCGCGCCAGGTGTCCTGTAGGGCCCAGTAGCTCAGCCTCCCCAGTTACCTGGGGTGGACACTCTTGGTGCACTCTTGGTGCCTTGGTTGTTGTAGAATCTCTGGGAGGAATTGACCTCCAGGCCAATTGGCTGTGAGAATCAGCTGTGTCTAAAGTGGGAGAACTTCTGTGCTGAAGACACCCTTCTGGGGCAAGACTTGCTTCAGTGGGGCTTTGGTGCTCACTGAGTCTGCTCCCTGAGTGTGTCCCTTATGGATCTGAGGAGTTGCAATCTGGATGGTCCCACTCTGACCACTGGGGACAGTGGCTCCTGGATCTAAGGAGGTGCTAATTCAGCCTCTGCCTGAGGCCACACAGCAGGAGCCACAAAGAGGCTCAGCTGTGAAGCAATGCAAGCCGCTGCGGGGCCTTGGGCCTTCTCTTGGAAGTTCCGGGTCTGCCTGCCTGGGCTGCAGTTAGGTACATTCACATGCAAAAGCCTCTGCCGCAGCCTGGGTGGGGCGGGGTCTCAGGGAGTCAAAGGGCGGATCAGGGAGCTATGGCCGATTCTCCGCCCGGAGTCGCGCGTCTCAGTGTCCCGGTAACGGCTGCAAGCACCTCTGAGGGAAAGCCGCCCTCAAGTTTGCCCGCTGCCGGACAGACCAGCTTCTCCCCGTATGAGACCTGGGTCCCAAGAGACTTCCCGGAACCGGAGTTCAGAGCAGTCGGGAGTTTGTGATTCAAAAAGACAGCCGCGTCCTCAGGCGCCACCCCCTTTCCTCGCGCGCTCGAGCCGCCGTACCTCTGCACTTCACCTCCGCAGCGCCTCTGGCTCTCAGCGTGCTTCTCTTTCCTTCTAGTTGTAGAATTTACACTCAGCCAGCCTTTCTGTTGTTCTGGATGATGTTTGCTCAGTCCTTTGCGGTAATTTTCAATTGTTGTGTGAGGCGACAATTTCCCGGTGTTTACCTATGCCGCCATCTTAGTTTCTCCCCTCAGTTTTGTTTTTAACTGCCATCGAGAGAGACAGCTGTCCTTTATAAGTAACGTGGGCTACTAAAATTTACTCTTTTACTATAGTTAACTTTTGACAAATACATACAGTGTGTAACTACTACCCCAGACGTTCCCTTGTTTCCCTTCATAGCCAGTCCTCTCACTCCCAACCCCTGGCAACCACTGATTTGTCTTCTGTCCCTGTGGTTTTGTCTTTTCTAGGATGTCATATAAATGGAATCATCCAGTGGGTGGCCTTTTGAATCAAGGTCTTTTACTTAGCATAATGCACCCAAATGGTTCCACGAATATGCTGTTGGTTCCTTTTTATTGTTGAGTGATGTTCCTTGACATGAATGTGACAGTTTGTTTATCCATTCACCAGCTGAAAGACATCTGGATTGTTTCCAGTGTTTAATACTGTGAATAAAGCTGATATAAATATTCCCATAGAATCTTTATGAACATAAGTTTTCATTCCTTTTGGGGGGCATTTGCTGGGGTCCATCCCCATCAGGTCCAGGGGTTCCCATAGGTGGGGACAGAGTCAGCGAAGAAGGAATGACACGGAGGCAGCGTTCAGTTGATCAGCATAGCGAGGTTCTCCCTCCAGGATCTCCAGCCAGGTTCTGTGTTTTATTGTCTTGTTACATCTGTATTTATACCAGTTGATTTTAATCCTGTCAATTTCCATTCCAAAGGTTAGGGTGTTTCTTATCTCCATTCCAGGGAGTAAAGATTATGTAGCTTAAGGGTGATTGCTCGTAGTTAAAGTGATTAACTACCCGCCTGGCACTTAGTTAAGAGGTTTTATTCCCTCCCTAACTTCAGGGAAAAATCCCTAACTGGGGAAACAACCTTTCTCGGAGAGGTGACCTTGAATAAAACACATAGTGCCAAGAAAGGGAACAAACATATTAAGAACAGTATGCTATATACGCCAGGTCCCTTGAAACATATGTTTCTTCCCTGCAGCGACTGTGTCAAGCAGTAAGGATGGACCGGCTTCCAGCAGGCATTGTTGGGTCTTATGTTAAGGGTGTGCTTACTTAATAAGAACCTGCCCACCCATCTTTTCCGAGTGGTGCCACCATGATGCACTCCCGTCACGAATGTGTCAGGGTGCCAGTTGCTCCACGTTCTCACCAGCACTTGGTAGTGTCAGGGTTTTTGTTTATTTCATTTGTGTTTCAGCTAGTTTCACTGACACTAGCATATAATCAGTATGTGCTAGTGTCATTCTGCTTTTAGTTTGCATTTCCCTGATGAGTTATGAGGTTGAGCGTCTTTTCCTGTGCTCATTTGCCATCCATATTATCTTCTTGGAAAAATGTCTGTTCAAATCTTTTGCCCATTTATTAAAACCATTTTTTAATTGATTGAGTTTTGAGAATTCTTTATATATTTGGAATGCAAGTGCTTTATCATATATGTGATTTGTAGATATTTTCTCCCAGACTGTGCCTTATTTTTTCATTTTCTTAACAGCGGAAGATAGTGCCTTCTTGGTGATAACTGAATTTTTATTTTTAATGCAGTATGCTTAATCTAGGATATACATTTAAGTTGGAGGAGCAAAGAAATATAACATGTATATATATATATATATATATATATATATATATATATATATATATATAGCTACACACGTTCTAGTTCCTTAACGTTTTTAATTTTGAATTGTTTTTATTAGTTTCATTTTATCTAGCAAACACTTGACAGGTGTATGCAGTGTGCTAGCCTGCTGCACAAGCTGAGCGGGTGGGAGATGCATGGGATGCCTACGGTGGATCAGGTTCCTCCGTGTCCCATAATCTTACTTAATCCCAACAAGAATCCTGTAAAATTGTCCTTGATTTACAGTGGAGGATGAGGCTGAGCAGTTAAATTATCTGCTGGTTGAGTCACCTCCCAGCTGGCGAGTGGCAGGGCTGGGTTTGAACACCAACGTGCATCATTCTAAAATCCACATCTTTCCAGATATACTGTGTTGCTCTAACATTGGTTAAATATAAGTTCTAAAGGGATATATCTAGGTAGTTTTGGAAATGTTTTATTCAAAAAGTTCGTTTCTGTAGATTTAATTTTTTTGTTTGTTTTTTTTGTTTTGTTTTAACTTGTATGGTCATAGATACATTTCTATTTATTTATTTATTTATTTATTTATTTATTGTAGGCATAATCTTATATTTAAATTTTCATCAGTTGTGAAATTGTGAATTAAGAATATGATCCATATCACAGAATCCACAAATCTAAAAAAAAATGACTATATAGTTCTCCTTAACTGCAGTCATAGCCTTTCTAGATGAAGATTGCTAAATGAGATTATGTGCTATGACATATTCCAAACTGTGTATAATAAACATGGAGATACTAATCACTTTTGGCATCTTTTTTTTTTTTTTAAGCTTCCTGAAAAACTGCTCTTTTCACAAGGTTGTAATTGGATCCAGCAATACAGCTTTGGTCCTGAGAACTATACGGGTTCGAATGTGTTTGGGAAATTGCGTAAATGTGTGGAATTATTGAAAACACAGGTGAGTGTTTGGCGGCTGGGGTAAAAGGCTAGGGATGAAAGCATCTGCCCCAAATGGGGCCACTTTTCTCTGATGTCAGGCATATCACTTTCTGTCAGCTAAGTGGGAGATGCAGGCAGCAAGCTGCTTCAGGTAACTGATGGTTTCTTCTTGATCTTCATTCTCTTTCAAGTGACAAATGAGAGAGAGCAGTGTTGCTGTTCTACATGATAGTTAGGCCCGTTACGGGCTATGGAGCCCTTTGTGGGCTGGCCAGGAACCTGAACGGTCATGGGCTTTTGTGTCCCCAGAAATATAAGGTGAAGCTCCAGACAGGATGCTCAGAAAGGCCCTTCTGGAATGCGCCCTATTCATTACTGGGCGAGGGCAAAGATGTTATAATTTGAGTTGGAGTTTTTCCTGCCTTTTAACCATTTGTACGCCATAAGTGTCAATAGATGCAAGTGGCAGACCTTTTTTAATTAAATTCAAAATATCATGGCAGTTAACTGGTTAATAAAAACAGATTTGGGGTTGTTGGAATGAGTCCTCCTTGGGAAACACCATAACCTTTCTGGGTCACAGTGTTCTTATCTGTAAAAGCGAATTGTAAATAGTATCTACCGTGTACGGTTCTGGTGAGGATTCAATGAGACAACACACGTAGAGTGACTTCAACTGTGCCTGGCAGCGGTGGGTTTAAAGCACTGTTGGTGTATCACTGTTGGCCGCTGGAATAGCCTTTGCCTAACCCAGCCATCGTAAGCAGTTTTAGGAAACTGACTTGCTTAGTATTTTACCTACTGGGTGGTGCTTTTGTGAAAAACTATTTCATTGAAACTAGTTTGTTATTGTAAAACTAATAAATGCTTATGGTTTTAAAAAAATCCATATCAAAAGATATAAAATGAAAATTTAAAGTTCCACTCCCCTTTATTAGTTTTATTTTATAAGTACTTTACAAGTTATGCGGTGTTTTGCCTGGATGGTTTATTTGGTGGTTAGGGCGTCAGCTGAAGGACTGAAGGGTCGCAGGTTCAATTCTCAGTCAAGGGCATGTACCTCGGTTGCAGGCTCGATCCAACCAATGCATATGTCTCTCTTACATTGATGTTTCTCTCCCCGCCCGCCCCACTCTCTAAAAAAAATCAATGGAAAAAATATCCTAGGGTGAGGATAATAAAAAAAAAGGTTATGCAGTGTTGTGTACATTCAGCCTTACCCTTCTAAGTTTCACTTTTGCGGCTGTGTTTTTAGTGGACTGAATTCAGTGGAATTAGAGATTATCACAAGAGAGGAAGCATGTGCAACATCCTTTTCTCTGATGCCATTCTGGAATATAAACTGTATGAAGCTTTAAAGTTCATCATGCTGTATCAGGTCACTGAAGTTTATGAACAAATGAAGATGAAAAAGGTCATTCCCAGTCTTTTCAGACTCCTGTTTTCCCGGGAAACGTCATCCGATCCTTTGAGCTTCATGATGAATCACCTAAATTCTGTCGGCGACACCTGTGGACTAGAGCAGGTACGTGGGGCAGAAGAACTGTGTGTGTTTGATCAAGGAGGATAGTGGCAATACTTGAACACATAGGTTTGGTGTTTGCTTTCAGCAGTGATAAGACCAGCTGCGCAGAGTGGTCGGTTGGCATTATTGCCCCTGAAGGGCGGAAAAGAAGAGTAACGAGCCTCCCTGCTCCGAGCTGGTTGCCGTGTGCCCTTCCAGCCGGGTGCCGGGGAGCCTTTCTGAGCTTGTGTGCTGCCTCTCAGTTGATAACAGGTTCTCCCACAACAGAGGTGAACCAGGAGAAATTCCAGTCGGAAAATGAGATAAGGTTTGGGAAAGCATTCGGTTACTTACTGCAGATAAATAGAAATTATTGAATTTTTTTCTAAATCCAAAAAATGCTTTTATGTCCCCATAGAAAAGGATTTTTTGTTTTGTATTGTTTTGCTTTGCTTTCCCAGAAGGTGCACAAAATCATCTGCACTTTTTACACAAATTGATTTAAAATGATGTAACACTGGTGGGAAAACAGTGTAATTTTTATTATGAGCATTCCCTTATTTTTTATTAGATTTTCCCCAAACAGCTCTCCCTGTGATTTCTTCATGCTAGTCTAGAGAGATGCTCCTCCGCTTGTCCCCTGCATTTGCCCCTAACCCCGTGCCCACGCAGTGGTTCGTGCGTGGGTCTGTCAACAAGCACGCCATGTCACAAGCTGCTGAAGAGCGTGCTCCCGCGCTGGTGGGAGGGCAGGAATCGGGAAATGTGTATCTGTGACCTCTCTTTCGTCTCTTCCCCAGATTGATATGTTTATACTTGGATATGCCCTTGAGGTCAAGATAAAAGTGTTCAGGCTGTTCAAGTTTAACTCCAGGGACTTTGAAGTCTGCTACCCAGAGGAGCCACTCAGGGAGTGGCCGCAGATCTCCCTGCTGACCGAGAATGACCGTCACTACCACGTACCTGTCTTTTAAGTCTGGCGGGGACCGGGCGCCCGCCAATGACAGTGGTCACACCTGCCAGTAAAGTGTTCCTGGAAAACAGAAACTAGTGTTGTAGCCACCGAAGGAATGAGGCCCTTCTCTGGAGTTACAGGTACATGGGACGCAGCAGTGCACAGGTGGCTTTTCTCTGTTTTTCAGTGATTTCCTCCAAAGCAGCTGCACTAATTCATTGTGGGTCGTGGTTTGACCTCATTCGTGAGGGCTGTGGTCACTTCACACATGGTGGGCCTAGACAAGCACGAGAACGTTTCGTTTGGACAAGACCAACAACAGGAGCAAAGAAAATGAGTAGGTTTTCCTACTAACCTAGAAAGAATGAATTTGCTTCTGACTTTTACGTACTTCATTAAGAATCTTGTCTTTGGTTGATTTTGGATCCTCATAAACATGGCCTTATTTTATAAGCATTAGCTTCCCAGGAATCTATGGTATATTGATTTTCTAGAACCACTTGATTAACTGTAAAATTATGGGTATACACACACACATACCCATATGTATACATGTATAGTTTTATATCTATACATATACACACAAATGACCACTACTTTGTAATGTTGTACAATTTGTTTTATATCTTTTTGCATTTTTTATTGTTACATCTGGCCAGTTTAATATGTTTTATATAGATAAAAAATGATAAATTCTGTAGATTAAGGAACTGAATGACAGTTATTAAGCTGTCAGGAAAATATTAAACTGTGGTGTATTGACATGTGTATTGAATGCGTGGTAGATAGAATCATGCCCCCCTTTCTCCACTTTCCCAGAAAGATGTTAAGTCCTAATCCCAGAACCTGTGAGTATGTTGGGTTGAATGCAGAGGAGAGTAAAGTTGCAGGTGGAACGAAGGTACTAGTCTGCTGAGCTGGTTAGAGGGAGATTAGTCTGGGTTCTCCAGGGGAATCCAATATAATCACAAGAGTCCTGACAAGTGGAAGAGGGGATTGGAGGAGTGTGAGAGTCAGAGGGAAGTGAGAAACCCGAAGGACAGTAGGGAAGGACAGTAGGGAGAGATGCGACATGCTGGTGTTGAAGATGGGGGAGGAGCCACAAGCCAAGAGATGCGTGCAGCCTCCGGGAGCTGGAAAAGGCAAGGGAGTGGCCTCCCCTGGAGCGTCCAGGAGGGAACACGGCCCTGCCAGAGCCGTGAGTTTAGCCCAGTGACACCTGGGCCGGACCTCTGACCTCCAGAACTGTAAGATAATACATTTGCGCTGTTTCAGTAGCTATTTCCGGAAATGTGTCATAGCAACAATAGACAGTTCTTGGGCTAACTAATTTTGGAAATACTTTTCTAGTTTATTTTGGTAATTTTTATTTTGGCGGTACTATGCTAGTCTGTCATGGATTTCAATAAATACAAAATACTTCAAATCTTGGCTAACCATATACTGGCCTCCTTGATGTGTTTGAGGCTGACGTTTTCTCGCATTTTCATATTGTTTCTACTATAAATAAAAAAAGAGGTATGGTAAATGCTGTGGTGTATGAAAATAACATTGACTCTTGAATAATCACCAGTGTGTCCTACATAAGCCAGATGTCTAAATTGTACGTTGTGTTCTGCCTGCTGTCGATTTTGTTTTCTGGTTGGAGAGTAAATAGCTCAGACCACTTTGCATTACTTTGAGAGCCACGCAAACAAAACGGGCCCTCTTGGTTGATCTCTACAGTCCTTTCCTGCCTGGAAGTGTCTATGCTTTTGCACAAGCCCTGTCATGTAATTGACACTGTGGGAGGTTACCCCCTGATGCATTACAGGGACCTGGAAAAATGAACTCTACCCTTTGCGTTGACAAGCAGAGCGGACGAGAGCCTGCGTGGGCTGTGACTAGCACTCCTAGGATTGCTGCTTCTGACTTCTGGCTCCAGTGGCACCTACCTCGCATCTGTATATTGCCACTCGCCTTGCAACCCCTTATCCAGTGTCATTATTTCCTCATCTATCCAGGACTGAAAGAGAAAACCCTTTCACGGGGATTGGCAGCCTGTGGCTCTGTGACATGGCGACCCACTATGTCTATCCTTCACTGTGTGCTGGGGCACAGGGCAGAGTGGGGCAAGAATTCTTTAAAGAGAGGGGCAAGACCAAATTGTGAAAACAGGACATTTCAGTACAATGAAAGGAAAAAGTAAAGGAGACCTTTAAATAGTTGCTATTTGGGGGAAGGCATCAACACAGGATTTTAAGGGAGGAGGTATTTTATGGTTTTATTTTTAATTCAGTTGTATATTGAATGTAACAAACTAATTAGAAGGAACTGCATATAAATTAGCACCACTTTTAAATGCCAGCAATTAATTGGAGGTGAATTGCCTGTGTGATGCCAACATTTAGTGTCTTTCTAACATTATTTGTTTTAAATGATGAATTATAGCAAAAATGAAAACATATGCCATTGTCTTTTCTGATTTTAGGTGTTTCTCTCAAGTGTTGGGTATGTGTGTCCATACTGAGGGGTTGTATGAATATTAGTACAATTTACCATTAGTACATACAATTCACCATTTTAACCATTTTTAAATATATAGTTCAGTGGCATTAAGTACCTCCTCGTTGTCATGCAACCATCATCACCACCCATCCTCAGAACTTTTGTCATCTTCAAGACTGGCTTTTTTGATAGGAGGCAAGTTTAATTCTCCTACCTGGTACCTGTTGTTTTGTTGTTGTTTTTTCTTTAAAAAAATTTTATTTTAGAGAGGAAGGGGAGGGGGAGGGAGGGGAGAGAGAGAGAGAGAGAGAGAGAGAGAGAGAGAGAGAGAGAGAGAGAGAGAGAGAAAGAAAGATCGACGTGAGAGAGACACATTGATTGGTTGCCTCCCTTATGCATCCCAACCCGTGAATTGAACCCGTGAGCCTTGGTGCCTGAGAGCAACAGTGTGGCCAGGACGGAGCTGAACTTTTTCTTTTGTAACTCTTCACATTATCTTTATATCCCACCCTTCTAATTCTGAGTATTTCTTTCAGTGCAGATTTCCAATGTAAGGGAGGTCTAGGTGATCAAATAGATGAGGCTAATCATGTTTTACTTTATCTCCAAAGTAAAGAAATAATCACAGGTGGCTTCTGGTTTCATCCTAGAAATACTATCATTTGAAAGCTTTTCCCAAGAAACTGTGTTAGTTCAGGGCCATCCCAGTATCTGGAATTTCTTGGATGTGGATCTTCACAGCTTGACTGAAAGTCATGTCCACCCATGGGGGAGCCAGGGAAAAGCCCAGGACCTTCTCTAGTGCATGGAGAGCCCAAGACCAGGCTAGTGCAGGAACAGCTCGGACCAGGGGGCATTCATGCGTCGCTTCCAAGGACCTTCCTGCAAATGAATTTTGTATGGAAATATTTGTTATTGTTATATATCAGATGATTTTCTCATATTGTAGTGAGATCAGAGAAAGACCAATTTAATTTTGTCTAAGTTGGTTGGTCTTGGGGAAGAAACTAACTTCTGAGTACTCTGAAAATGTTGTGAATTCTATATTAAAGAAGGTAACTATTTTTAGATTGATAACTAACCTGATATGTGAAAACCTATACAAATTTGAGTAAAGAGATGATTAATTCATTCATCTTAGTTTTCTTTTAAATAGCAAGTTCCTAGAGCTGTGTCATTCTTTTTACAAGAATGAGTTTCACACTGCTTAAGATTCGTTGGGGGAAAAAAAAAGACTTGTTGCTGTGTAAAATTTTAAAATAAAATCTTTCTGTGGATCTAAAAGTTTAACAGTCTATTGGGTTGCTTGTCACAAGTTGAATACTGTTGCAGTATCATATTATTGACTATTTTTAAGTATATTTTATCTATAGCCATACAGTTTTCTTTAAATGTTATTATAGTCAGACACAGAATAAGTGGGTCCAAATTGTACAGTCACTTCTATGTTATTTGTTCAAATAGTTGGGTCATCCTTAAGTTCATGTCGGCTTCATTCCTGACAAACTCCTGTAGTCCAAGAAAATGAAAGCTTGTGTGGATTGATATTCATGTCAACATGGTTTATAAATAATGGAAAAACCACTCACTCACATATTCAGCAACCCCTAGACCAAAGTGCTCAGGAGCACAGCCAGAAGTTACACCATGTGTCTTCATGTGAAGATCACAGAGTACGAGTGAGGAAGTGAGAGCTCTGACGAGTGCGGCCCCAGCCATGTGGACGAGTGGGCTACATGTGGGGGGTTCAAGTTACATTCCTAGCTGGTGTCTCTGGAAAAATACCATCCTCTGTTTAAAAAAAACAAGTCTCTGTATATAATTGCTCTGTTGGTCTTTATAGTCAGTGTCATCAGGTCTTAGATTGCTGTTTAAGTCATTTTCATGCCACCAGTGTCACTTATTTGTAATAATTCTTGGAAAGTTTAGTCAAGAGAACTTTCTAACATAAAATTTAAAAAAAGCTTGCTTTGAGTATTTTCAGTCTATATAGGTTGAACAAGTAGTGTATTTAAAACAGGACTGTGTTGTAAGAAGCGTTCCTGAAGTACAGAAATATTTTCCCAATGGAATAGCCTATTTGTAAACAAAGAATATTTGCTTGCTTCTAACTTATAAAACCTCAGGCAGAACATCTAGATGGAACTGGATAGAGGACAGTAGTTGAAACTTTCTGCAGAGCAATTTACAGTTTTGTTTTGCTCACCCTCATGTTTGAAAAGGCAGCATGAGGGTCAACTCAGTAACATCAGAATGTTTCATGGACAGTGTATAACTTTCCTGCATTGCGCTTATTATACACCAACACATTTATAAGGACAAGCACAAAAGTCTGAGACTTTTCTGGCCCTGTTTCTTGTTATCACTGCCATCCCCAAAGACAAAACCAGAGAAGCAACTTGGGAACTATGTCCACTACCCGTCAAGTCTCGGCTTTTGTCCACTGTATACAGACTTCCTCGGGGCCGGCTTATCTGTGGGACTGAACTTCATAGGAAGGGCCCAAGGATGGGTGAAGAGAAGCAGCTGGTGCAGAGTATCAGCTGAGGTGGAGATCTGAAAGGCTGCTTGAATGTTCTGGAACTTTTACTATGTGATTTTAAGTAGACACATTTATGACTCCCTTAAAAAAGGATGCACATTGAAATTGATGTTTGTTATAAAATATTCACATCATTGTAGATAAAGAGGAAAGATAAACACTTATATCTCTCTTATCAGAAGCTACCTTTAGCTATAATTCAGCGGTTCTCAACCTGTGGGTCGTGACCCCTTTGGGGGTCGAACGACCCTTTCACAGGGGTCGCCTAAGACCATCGGAAAACATATAATTACACTAGAGGCCTGGTGCACAAAAATTTGTGTACTCGGGGGGAGGAGGGGTCCCTCAGCCTGGCCTGTGCCCTCTCGCAGTCTGGGACCACTCAGGAGATGACCACCTGTTGCCTTAGGCCCGCTCCCTGGGGGGATTGGGCCTAAGATGGCAATCAGACATCCCTCTGGCAGCCCGGCAGCCCTCAGGGGATGTCCACTTGCCAGCAGGGAGCAAGTCTAAACTGCAGTTGGACATCCTTAGTGCTGCTGAGGAAGCAGGAGAGGCTCCCACCACCACCGCTGTACTGGCAGCCATCACCCTGGCTTGTGGCTGAGCAGAGCTCCTCCCATGTGAGAGCGCCCTGACAACCAGAGGGCAGCTCCTACATTGAGCGTCTGCCCCCTGGTGGTCAGTGTGTGTCATAGTGACCAGTCATTCCCAGTGGTTCTGCTGTTAGGGTCAGTTTGCATATTACCCTTTTACTATATAGGATAGAGGCCTGGTGCACGGGTGGGGGCCAGCTGGTTTGCCCTGAAGGGTGTCCCAGATCAGGGTGGGGGTCCCACTTGGGTGCCTGGCCAGCCTGGATGAGGGGATGATGGCTGTTTGCAGCTTGTCACACCCCCTTCAGGGTGGGGGTCCCCTCTGGGGTGCCTGGCCAGTCTGGGTGAGGGGCTGAGGGCCATTTTCAGGCTGGCGGGTGACTGAGGCTCCCAACCTCTCCTTTTTATCTTTTTCTTTTTTTATTCTGGGATTTATTTACCTTCTATGGCTGTCACTGGAGCTGAGAGCCGGCTTTAGCTCTGAGGCTCGGCTCCAGCTCTGAGACCTCGGCTGCTAAAAGCAGGTATCTGGGTTTGTTTGGGTTTTATAATTGTAACACTGTTGCAACTTCAGCTCTGAGGCCCCGCTGGCTGAAAGCAGGTTTCTGGGGTTTCTTTAGCTTCTATAATTGCAACATTGTTTCTTAGAGTGCAGCTCAGAGGCCGGCAGCAGCAGTCGGGGAACCTTGGCTTCCTCCATCACTGGAGCAAGCAAGCCTCCTGTTAGCTTCAGCTGCCTGGTTGCCGGCTGCCATCTTGGTTGGCAGTTAATTTGCATATCACCCTGATTAGCAAATGGGAAGCATGTCGGAGGTACGGTTAATTACCATGTTTGTCTATTATTAGATAGGATATTGTTTTGTGATTAATCACTATGCTTTAATTATGTTCAATTTGTAACAATGAAATTGGGGGTCACCACAACATGAGGAACTGTATTAAAGGGTTGCAGCATTAGGAAGGTTGAGAACCACTGCTATAATTATTGATTTTTTACAGAGAGGAAGGGAGAGAAATAGAGAGTTAGAAACATCAATGAGAGAGAAACATTGATCAGCTGCCTCCTGCACACTCCCCACTGGGGATGTGCCTGTAACCAAGGTACATGCCCTTGACCGGAATCGAACCCGGGACCTTTCAGTCCACAGGCCAACGCTCTATCCACTGAGCCAAACCGGTGCTGGCGACCACTGCTATAATTAAACATGCTGGGTAGCCCTGGCTGGGTATTCAGTTGGTTAGAGTGTCATTCCTATACACCAAGGTTGTGGGCTCCTTTCCTTCCCTCCCTCCCTCTCTTCCTCCCTTTCTCTGCATGGAGCTGTGCAGTGTGTGCCTTGCTTGGGGCACCTGACTGAGGAAGTGAGTGGTTCTGGAATCTGCCCTTCAAGCAATGGCCCTTGAGGAAAGGGATGCCATTGCCCCAGAGGACAGTGTCTTTTTCTACCAACAAGGATCACTTCACTGACCAAGTCCTGTGCCAGTAGGGGCACCTTTTTCCTAACTTGCATGAAAATTAATAAACAGAAACCTCATTTAAAATGGAGTCAGGAGGCCAGAAGAGAGAAGTCTCACGTACACATCACTCAATGCGTACCACCAGACCCCAACAGGAAGTGAGGTAGGTACCTTGCATCTCAAACAGGAAGTGACACTACATTACTACCTCTGCAGGAGGAAGAAGAGATTCCTCCTGACCCAGTAACAGCTCAGCCACTGGGAGACCTCCATAACTCAGCCAATGAGAAGTCACTATGACTCCAGCCTACAGTGCCCTTCTAGGCCTTCAATTACATCAGCCCCTCCCAAGTCAAAAAAAGAGTGTTCCTCTCCTTTGTCTCTCTGGACTTGCACATGGTTCACCGTCAGACATCCTGAATTGTATTTCTTTGTTGTTTCCCAATGAATTCATTTTACTGGAGAAATATCTGGCTGTTTATTTGTTGAAGATCAACACTTGCATACAAGGCCTGCTTGGCAGAGGTCCTTGGGTCAGCTTACAGTAGGATGGTACTTATTTGAGAAGGCTTTCCTAGATTTCTACATTCTCTTAGCAGAAATCAGCAAGAGTCTAATTTTTATGTTAGTTCTTTGTGCTTAACA